ATAAAGTGGAAAAACACAATTTACAAAGATGCTAGCAATAGGGTTCAACAAAATACTCGCACAATATTCATATTTACTAAGAGCATAAGAATAAAAGGTAACTATTTTTCTTCATCGGATAAGTAAATCTAAGCTATTGGTGCAATGAGTTATTAAATCCAAAACCCTAAAAGCAACTTATTAACTTACTAACTAGAAATTCAAAAGCAAAAACTATCACAAAACCTTAAAAGCAAGACATATAAAAGCAAAGTTTTAAAAATTTTAAAGCTCCCCCCCAAACTTAAATCTAACATTATCCCCAATGTTAATAAAAGTTAAGAAAAAAATACTCTCCTTCAAAAAGATTTGTTGTCCTCTTCGTCCTCATCATCAGTAGTGTCTAATGGAGCTTTTGGTTGCATAATTTTCTCATCCTAGCTCCAGTGTACTCCCACTTATTTACACAACGCGGTGATTAGTGACGGATACCATAAGCCATCCCTACTAGAACTAGCAGTATGTAAAATGTTAGAAAAAATTAATTGACCAATGTTAAGGGACTTACCTGAGAAGATGGCATATATTAAGACAGCTCAGTCTTTGGTCACATCACTTGTAAACTTGTTTGGCAGCATCTTGGCTGAAACAAAGTGGTGCCAAACCTTATATTCACTCTTGAGAGCACTTGCCTTGAATGTTGCTAGAACCCCCTAGCTAATCTCCATGTGGTCCCGAGGTTGCCCAAGAAGCTAATTACCTCATCTAAGTCCACTTCCCCATTAATGAATTGTGTGTACTTATCATTCTTTGAATCAGGGGTATTGTAGAACCTATTAATGGTGTGGCTACCAAATGGTGCTCTCTTTCTTCTACAAAATGCCACTCCATTTTCATGTTCTACTACTTTGGCATAAAACTCCCTAACTACAGGAATGACAGCCACCTCGAGTTGTGCACAAAAAGTCCCCTATCTCCTTTCCTTAATTATATTCGAGATATGGCTATAACTGATATGGGGCAGATCAATCTTTCTTTCAAGTATTGGTGATTTGTCTAACAAGGATTGTGTGTGTCTATGTCAAGCCTCAACTGATACAAATTTGGTTCTATCAAACCCGGCACTGCTTGTCCTAGCTCTTTTCGGGGCCATGGTTATCTCAAGTTTATCTAATTCCCAATTCCTAATTCAAGTTTAGCACTACCTAATACCCAGTAATTAACAAATCTTTATCATAATCAACACAAACAACACTCTTTCAAAATTCCTTCTAGCAACCTTGAAATCACACCGATGCAATATAGCTATCAAAGACAATATAATATGCAGAAAATTAGCAATACCCCTATCAACAAGCATCAAAATTTTGCAATCCCATTATAAAAACTCGACATAACTTCAAGGATTTTACTACTACTTTTGCAAATAATCAAAACCCAATGAAAAGTATTCACAAAAGGTCTCCTAAGCAATCATTTTCATCAAAATACCAAATTTTAGCAAAAAGTTGATAGCAACTTACCAAATCTACACTTTGATGGAAAGCTCTTCCTTAAAATCCTCAAACCTTGATTTGTTGGCTAGAGTTTTGATGATTTTTGAAGGTTTTGTCAATAGGTATGAGAGAAATTTGATTTTATTAGAGAACATTTTTGAGGGAGAGTGGGGTTAGGGTCAGAGATTTGAAAAAATGGATAAAAGTGGGAAAAACGTGGGTTTTATATTGGGGAGGGATGAACAACTCGTTGCAGCGAAAAACTCTCGAGTTTTTTATGTGTTGGCAATAAAATCTCATTGCAATGAGAATGGGTTCTCCCTACAGCGAGAAACTATTTATTTCTCACCTTTTTTTCACTCTTTTTCATTGCAGCGAGTTGGAACTCTCGCTGCAGCAAGAAACTCTTGGGTTGCTCCATTTTTCTAGCTTGTTTTTTGCTGCAGCGAGCTTGATTTCTCACTGTAGTGAATAGTTAGCGCTGCAGCACTGGAAGGGTCAGCGCTGCAGTGCTGATTCTTTTGGAAGAGCGGGGT